GACTGTGGTACCTCCTACTTCCTAAACTCAGCCTTCGTTGTGCCTCAGGCTGGGAACTGCTTCTCAAACTATCTCTATGATGCTGTCATTCCATAAAAGCCCATCTTTTCTATTTTTCTATTATTTGGCACAGAAGTGGGAATCGTGTGTCTCTCCAGATCTTGTTAAACTGCAACTTCCAGCCAGAGTTGCAGTGCAATAATATCTGGACTGCAACTTCCACACTAGCTTTTGCACCACCACATTAATATAACTATTGATGTTGCAATGAGCCTTCTATCACAGAGCTATCTTGATAACATTTATTCAGAGGCGATCTGCTATTGCCTTCCCTAAAGGCTGAAGAAATGTGTCACCCAATAGATGAGCAGAGATTTGAAATCTGATTTCCCAGAGTCATAATCCAACATTCACACCACTGTACCATGCTGGCTTTCTAACTATATGTAATGGAAATAAATACACATCACTCCCATTTACTCCTGCTTTCATTTCTCTCTCTTACCTCTTGCATTCCCTGCCTTGAATATTAAACAGGAACTCCCATGGAGGACCTGACATTTTGTAAAGTGCTACACTCACCAATGACGCATAGATATGTAAATATAAATAATATTTTAGTTAACTTTACTACCCAGAACAGTGGAATAAGAACAAGAAATCATCTGCTTTGCAGTTATTATTTTGGAATTGATCTGCATCTCAAACAAACTGCCAAGAGCGGTTTATAATGTGATATAATGTGCTGTGTCCTATGTGACATGTAGCAGAGGTCCCATCTGCACTGATTACGTGGGTCAGTGTAGAGGTGGATGAGCCCTGTGGCAGCCAAACACAACACTGGGCTGATCTGTGTTCACGCAGGGTAAGGCCTCCTTAATGCAGCCTTGTTCTGCATTAGCCAAAGTCCAATTTACAGTTTATGGCTTCTGGGAATAGTTGCTTTTTCCCCTGCCCTCATACCTGCTCACCATTGATGATGGGATGTCCTGGAAAGGCAGGAGGGGAGATCCTCTTTCTCTCCCTCCCATGGAACCCCACCAACTTGGCTGACGTCACTGCAGGTAGGACCCATGTCACAGTCAAGAGACTGCCATGACATAGGAGACACCCAGCAGTGCAGAACTTCATTTGGTGTCACTGGGCAGTGAGGATTGCTTCTCACCTTTGTGGGAGTCCCTGTTTGGACCATATTCGGGGCCAATCTGGCATGTTGTATGGGCCCCAGATTACCGCTCAGTGTAGATCTAAGCATAATGCCCCACAAGGTAGCTTCTGATTGCTGTTTCTATTGAGGTCAAGTGGGTTTCACTCTTGACCAAACGACACTCATTGCACAAATATTCCACTACACAAAGCCCTCTGCAGTTGTTGGTTTAACTTTTGTGGATTTTTATTTGTGGATTTGATCAATATTGTTTCTCTAAGATCCTCTACATCCTCTAGCATAACTCTATGGTCAACCTATGGCAGAAATTGTGGAGAACCTAGAGATTCCTATACAGGTTAAAAACCCCCACATTTTTTTAAAAAAATCTGGTTTTCCAATTTTCCCAAGGATTTTGTGCCTTAAATGCTACATTCACTTTCTTTTGAATAGAAACAAAAATGTTCTTGGTCATAGTATTCTCTTGATTTGTATCTCTTGGGCTTGTCTGTAGCCACTCTTCTTATCTATAGTCACTCTTCTTCTTTGCCAATGTATCCATGCAGATGAGAGAAACAAAGTTCACAATAAATAAGAAAATATGGGGGAATTCTTCCTAAGAGGAAGAAATAACAGGAACAAGACAAGAAGAAACTAACTCAAGGTCATGCAGGGATCTGAGACCAAAAAGGGAAATCTAAAGCACAATCCAAGTTTTCATAGATTTTAATGTGTCATAAATGAGGAGCACAAATCACTAGAATAATTACCATAGTTTATAGGATGAGCATCCCATATATGAAAATCTGCAATACAGGAAATCCCAAGTTACAAACATCCGACTTACAAATGATTCATGGTTAAGAACAGGAGTGAAACATCAGGAAGTGAGAAAAATCTACCACTCGGATGGGACCACAGGAGTGTTAACCCTTCCCTATACTAAGTAATATATATACATAACTGGCAGGAGTTACACTTAAAAATATACCTGTTCCGACTTACAAACCAATTCAATTTAAGAACAAACTTGCAGAACACAATTTTGTTCGCAATTTAGGAAATGCCTGTACTCCAAAATCCCAAATTGTCCCTCTGGGTGGCTGAGATAATGACATCTTTGCTTTCTGATAGTTTAATGTACATAAACTTTGTTTCATGCATGAAATTATATAAAACATGGTGTACAAAATTACCTTCAGGCCATGGATATAAGGTGTGTATGAAGCACAAATGAATTTTGTGTTTTGGTTTGGGTCTCATCTCCAAGATTTCTATGTATGTTTATGTAAAAAAGAACATTTAAGAGATTGAGACATAGGGTTCTAATGGGTATTTAAGATACAAGTGAAGACTTGCCTCTTCCAGCAGGCCTACAGCAACAGTTTTAATGGTGAATTTTAAACTGGATTCCTTGTTTTTGTTTTGTGTGTTTTGATACATATTTTCTGGAGGTATGCTTTAATATGTGTATTTTATGGAGTGTTTTAAAATGATTATGTATTTGTTTATGTTTTAGTAATGCTGTAACCCGCCATGAGGAGAGGCAGGCAAAAAATAAAACTATTATAATAATTATTATTATATTGTGGATTATCTGACTTAATATTCCGGGTTATATGGTTGTGTGGACAGGTCCTGAGGCCCCTTCTACACAGCTGAATAAAATCCAGATTATCTGCTTTGAATTGGATTATCTGGCAGTGCAGATTCGGATATTCCAGTTCAAAGCAGATATTGTATATTATCCACCTTGATATTCTGGGTTATAAGGCTGTGTGGAAGGGCCCTGGGTCTCCATTGCCAGATGTTCTGGGATAAGAAGACAATTTGGAATATAGGGGCAGTGTGGAAGAGGCCAGAGATTCCCAAATCCAAAATCCAAGCCACTTTGGGCCCCAAGCCTTCCAGTTTTCACTTTATTTATTTACCATATTTGTATACCATCTTTCTCAGACCGAAGGCAGCTCAAGGTTTACAGTCGGCAACAATCCGATGACCCAATATCATAAAATACAATTTAAAACATTAGCATATAATATAAAACCATACAAAACCAATAAAAACATACATACTCAGCGTCCTCTTGTTAAAATCATTGTCGAGTCATCATATAAGGCATCTATGGGCCCTTTCAGTCATATAACCCAGAATATCGAGGGAGATAATCCACAATATCTGCGTTGAACTGGGGGCCCTTCCACACAGATCTATATCTCAGAATATCAAGACAGAAAATCCCACAATATCTGCTTTCAACTGGGTTATCTGAGTCCACTTTGATAGCTGAAAGTGAGGAGGAGCCGAGGAGCCTTCTAATCAAGGTGAAAGAAGAAAGTACAAAAGCCAGGTTGCAGCTAAATATAAAAAACCCCAAGATTATGGCAACAAGAATTATTGATAACTAGTAAATAGAGAGATAAAAAGTGGAGGCAGTGACAGACTTTGTATTTCTAGGTGCAAAGATTACTGCAGATGCAGATAGCAGCTATTCGTTCAGTCATTTCCGACTCTTTGTGACCTCATGGACCAGTCCACGACAGAGCTCCCTGTCAGCCATCACCACCCCCAGCTCCTTCAAGGTCAAGCCAGTCACTTCAAGGATGTCATCCATCCATCTTGCCTTTGGTCTTCCTTTTTCCTTCCATTTTCCCCAGCATCATTGTCTTCTCTAAGCTTTCCTTTCTTCTCATGATGTGCCATACTGCCATACATTCAAGGATTTTCTCCCTTGATATTCTGTGATATAGGGCTGTGTGGAAGGGCTCTAGGGGCCCCTTCCACACATATGACTAAAACTCCATATTTTCTGCTTTGAACTGAGATATATGTCAGTGTGGACTCAGATAACCGGGACTGTGGCGGGACTGTGGTGCAGCTGTCTGTCAGCTGCTTTTAAGATCACTTCTGACCACAAGGTCATGAGTTCGAAGCCAGCCCGGGTCGGAGTGAGCTTCCGACCAATTGTGTAGCTTGTTGTCGACCTTTGCAACCCGAATCCAGGAATGCAGAAGTACTTAATCAGTGTCGCAGATAGACGATGAAAGCAACAGCTCCCCTGGCGGCCAGAAAAAGTTAAATAGCCTCTGACTGTCTGTCTATATCTGTTGTGTGTCTTTGGCATTTATTTATTTGTCATGTCAGGACAACCAGTCAAATTATATTACATTTCTAACAGAACAAAGCAAACAAACAGACAAAATACAAAACTTGTGAGTTTGGTAGTTGATCAAATGTCCCTTGACCAGTATCTGGCCATATGGAGTGCTTCTGGTGTTGCTGCAAGAAGGTCCTCCATTGCGCATGTGGCAGGGCTCAGGTTGCATTGCAGCAGGTGGTCAGTGGCTTGCTCCTCTCCACACTCGCATGTCGAGGATTCTACCTTGTAGCCCCACTTCTGAAGGTTGGCTCTGCATCTCGTGGTGCCAGAGCGCAGTCTGTTCAGCGCCTTCCAAGTCGCCAAGTCCTCTGTGTGCCCAGGGGGGGGGAGTCTCTCATTTGGTATCAGCCATTAGTTGAGGTTTTGGGTTTGAGCCTGCCACTTTTGGACTCTCACTTGCTGAGTTGTTCCAACGAGTGCCTCTGTAGATCTTAGAAAATTATTTCTAGATTTAAGTCGTCTTTGGCATTGAATGTTTGCCATATATGTGTACATTGTAATCCGCCCTGAGTCCCCTGCCGGGTGAGAAGGGTGGAATATAAATACTGCAAATAAAGCAGATATTGTGGGTTTTTATATTTTGACCTTCTGTGTTATATGGCTGTCTGGAAGGGCCCTGGGTTGTCGGGAGTCCACACTGCCATATAATCCAGTTCCATGAGGATTTTATACAGCTGTGTAGAAAAGGCTTACGCTCAAAACTGGCAACAACCGGAAGCGAGCCGGGCGGGCCTGTTCAGCGTGCCGGACAGCGCCCTACAGGGGCCTCTGGGCCAGCGTTCCATTGCGGCGCGCGCCACTCCGCGAACCCGCAGTGGTTTCTCAACGAGAGAGGCAGCGCGTGCGTGTGTATATCCATCCGTACAAGGTGTTCCCAGCAACTAGGCTCGGCTTGCTTTCGAGTCCCGGGAGGGGAGGGTTCCGAGTTTGGTTTCTGGGTCAGGCTGTGTTTTGGAGGGTGGGGTGAGGAGGGTGGGAAAACAGTAAGCTGTTGTGTGGCTCCGCTCCCTCTCTCCTTCCCCCTCCCCCTTTCCCCCCCTCCTCCTCGCGCTCCTCCTTCTCGCGCGACAAGCCCCGCCCCTCAGGGGGCGCCGCGCGACGCTGCCGTTAGGAGGCGGGAGGAGCGGACGCCGCCTCAGCAGTCAGTCCACAGCTTCTGCGGGCGCGCGAGAGAGGGAGAGCGCGTGAGAGGGAGAAGGGCTGGCTGGCTGACTGACTGACTGACAGGGCAGGCGATACTCTCGACAGCGGCCGCCGCTTTTCCTCCGCCTCCTCCGCCTCTTTTCCTTCTTTCCTTCCTTCGTTTCCTTCCTTCCCTTCCTTCCCTTCCTCCTCAGCCTCCCGCCGCCGCCGCCCTGGGGCCGGGCGGGCGAGCGGGGCCTGGCGGCGGCGCTTGGATGCCTGGAGCCCGCGGCAGAGAGCCAGCCCCTCCGAGCCCGCCATGGGCTGCTGCGGAAGCGCCGCCTCGCAGGTGAGAGGCAGAAGCACAACAACAACAACCACCACCACCAGAGAAAGGGGGGGGGGGGGAAGGAGCGAGGAGGAGGAGATCATAATAATAATAAGGGGGGGGGGGAAGGGGAGAAGAGCCTGGTGTTTTATTATGGTAGGATAATATTAATGAATAATAATAATAATACATATAATAATAATAAATAGGAGGGGGGAGAAGACCCTGTGTGTTGGGGAGAGGAGATATATTAATTATTATAAATAATAATAATAAGAATACAATAATAATAGAGGGGCGATCCCTCATTGCAATCAAGAAGGAGAGGATATAATAATAATAATAATAGATCGAGACTGGTTTTCAGGCATGTGTGTTGGGATGAGGAAAGGATATATTAATAATAATACTAATGGGGGGGGGGGAGAAGAGCCCTCCTTTGTTTGAGGAGGGGAATAATAATAATAAATATAGAGAGAAAGAGGCGTGCCCTAAGGGAGGGAAGAGCTCTGTGTATTGGGGAGGAGGATGATATAATAACAACAACAATAATAATAATAATAATAAAGGGGGGGGGAGAGAAGAGCCCTGTGTGTTGGGGAGAAGGATATAATAATAATAATAATAATAATAATAAAGGGGGGAGAGAGAAGAGCTCAGTGTATTGGGGAGGAGGAGGCTATAATAATAATAGAGGGGGGGGGAGAGAAGAGCCCTGTGTATTGGAGAGGAGGAGGATATAATAATAACAACAACAACAACAACAATAATAATAAAGAGGGGAGGAGAGAGAAGAGCCCTGTGTATTGGGGAGGAGGATGATATAATAACAACAACAACAATAATAATAATAATAAAGGGGGGGGGAGAGAAGAGCCCTGTGTGTTGGGGAGAAGGATATAATAATAATAATAATAATAATAATAAAGGGGGGAGAGAGAAGAGTCCTGTTTGTTGGGGAGGAGGAGGATATAATAATAATAAAGGGGGGGGGGGAGAGAAGAGTCATGTTTGTTGGGGAGGAGGAGGGAGAAGAGTCCTGTGTGTTGGGGAGGAGAAGGAGATCATAATCTATATAAATAAAAATGTAATGTTCATTTGTGGGATTACATTAATTCAAAAACCGCTGGATGAATTGACACCAAATTTGGACACAATACACCAACCATGCCAACGAGTGACCATCACTCATAAAAACACTGAAAAAGATACTTAAGAAGCAAAAAAAAAAATACAAAATACATTACAATGCATGCGCAAAACCACATATATGCACATATACACACACACAAAACACATATACAGAGACTCGGCCACAGCAACGCGTGGCAGGGGACGGCTAGTAATAATAATAAAAGGGGAAAGAGCCCTGTGTGTTCCTGTCCTATCCTCTTGCGCCAATGCACCTCTATTACCATATCATAATAGTGGCATATTTTTAGAACACTCTCTGCTTCCTTCCTGGAGCCAGAACTTATGCAACCCTACTTATAGGATCCAGTGTTGAGGGTCAGGCCCAAACCCCATCCAGGGCCCAAACCTCAGCCTCCTTTCCTTCCTCCTCATCCCACCCACGCGCTGTGAGCTGGCTCCCTGGTTGCCACCGGGAAAACTGTCAGATGGCTGTCGCCACAGGCCTCCTCCGCCAATCTCCCGCTTGGGTTATGGATGTATATCCGCTGCGGTGGCATCCCAAGTGCAAGGAAGGAAAGGAAGGGGAACAACCAGTCCTTTCTAGGCAATTCACTGCAGCGTTGTCCCCAGTCTCTCTGCATTTCTCGCCTGAGTGGGGTTTATTTAATTCGTTCATCAATTCCTAGAGTTGGAGACCCCCCCCCCGGCCATCCACAAACTCCCTTTCTGCCATATAGGAACAGCACAATCAAAGCACTCCCGGCAGATGTCCATCCAATCCAAGCATGGGCAAACTTCGCCCCTCCAGTGTTCTGGACTTCAGATCCCACAATTCCTAACAGCCAGTAGGTAGGCATCCTCAGTCTGAAGTCTGTTGGAAACTAGGCAAGTGAGGTTTATATATCTGTGGAATGTCCAGGGTGGGAGAAAGATCTCTTTTCTGCTTGAGGCAAGTGTTTTTTGTTTTTTTTTACCATGAAACTGCAAGTTGCTTCTGGTGTGAGAGAATTGGCTGTCTGCAAGGACGTTGCCCAGGGGACGCCCAGATGTTTTGATGTGTTGTCGAAGGCTTTCATGGTCAGAATGACTGGGTTGCTGTGGGTTTTCTGGGCAACATGGCATTCTCAGACGTTTCACCCACATCTATGGCAGGCATCCTCAGAGGTTGTGAAGTCTGTTGGAAACTAGGCAAGTGAGGTTCATATATTTGTGGAATGTCCAGAGTGGGAGAAAGAACTTTTGTCTGCTTGAGGCAAGTGTGAATGTTGTAGCTGGCCACCTTGATTAGCATTGAATAGCCTGGTGGCACAGTGTCTTGAACGACTGAGCTGCTGAATTTGCTGACTGAAAGGTTGGCGGTTTGAATCAAGGGAGCAGGGTGAGGCTGTTAGCCCATGCTTCTGCCAACCTAGTTCAAAATATGCAAATATGAGTAGATCAATAGGTACCACCTTGGCGGGAAGGTAACGGTGCTCCATGCAGTCATGGTGGCCACATGACCTTGGAGACATCAACCAACAACGCCGGCTCTTTGGCTTAGAAATGGAGATGAGCACCACCCCCCAGAGTCAGACAGAACTAGACTTAATGTCAGGGGAAACCTTTACCTTTACTTTAGAGTTTTTTAATACATCCAGAAAACAGGTGTTAGCTGGCCCTGATTGTTTCCTGTCTGGAATTCCCCTGTTTTCTGAGTGTATTAAAAAAAACTCTAAAACCAGTATTAAAAAAAACACACCTCTAGAATCAGGACAGTAAATAAATAACAATACTCAGAAAACAGAGGAATTCCAGACAGGAAACAATTAGGGCCAGCTAACACTTCCCGACAAAGGATTCCTCCAGGCAGGAAGCAACCAGGTTTGGAATATGCAAGGCTATTCAGTGCTAATAGAGCTGGCCAAAAGCAACATTCGCACTTGCCTCAAACAGACAAGAGTTCTTTCTTCTATCCTGGTTATTCCACAAATATATAAGCCCCACTTGCCTAGTTTCCAACAGACCTCACAACCTCTGAGGATGCTTGCCATAGATGAGGGTGAAACATCAGGTGATAATGCTTCTGGAACATGGTCATACAGCCCGGAAACTCACTGCAACCCAACTGCTATTTTATTTTATTTGAGAAATTTATATCCCATCTTTCTCTGAGCACAGACTCAAGACGGCTACAACAGAATAAAAATGTACAATGTAAAGTTAAAACAACCAATTAAAACATAAATATTTGAAACAGCAAACAGAAATAAAACCAGGTGAACATTAAAACCAAGATAAAAACCCAAAGTTTTCACTCCCACTTATATGGTTTAATTAACCACTTTCACAAAAAGGAACATCTTCGCACCGCGACTGGGTAGAGCCAGAAGGCTCCCTCCCCAGGGGCAGATAACAGTCCCAGGGGGCGGCTAAATCCATAGGGATTCATCCAGAGTTTGAAGGACACCATCCCCTCAAGGGTGGTGTCAGCAGACCCGGGGAAAAAATCCTGCAGGGCAAGCGGGCCGCCGCCTCTGCCACCTTCCTCAAGAAAGAAGGACCTTGTCCTCCTAAAGTACATATCGGAAGGTGTCTCCACCACACTCATAGTCAGTGTCTTACACTCTTGAACAGCTCTTGTTGCTCTTCCTGTCCATGGCAGTGCCAAACTTTGGGTACTGCCTCTGTTGCTCACTATTATTGTTGTTGCTGTTGTTGTTTTTGTTATTATTATATTTACCTATACCCTGCTTTAACCTATATAGCCCTGCATAGCTTTGGTCCAGGTTACTTGAGACACCGTGTCCTCAGTTGCAGACCAGGGCAGACGTTATGGTCCAGTATGGTCTCCATACAGTCTAGGACCAACATGCATTTAAAAACCACCAAAAAAGGCACATTCTTGGGGGCGTCTCCGAAGCTATGGAAGTTAGATCGGCTTTCACACTGATGTCATTTAGGAAAGGTGTGAAGACCTTCCTTTTAAAAGCAGGTTTTAATTGAAGCCAAGCATTTTACAGTCAGAGGGGTCATTTTAGACTGTTGTTTACCTTTATGGTTTTTATAATATGTATTATCTATTTTAGCTAAGGATTTATGTTCTATGCACTTTTAAGATGTTGTGACCTGCCTTGAGTCTGCTCTGGAAAAAGGCAGCACAGAAATCTCTGAAATAAATAAAAGCACCTGGAGAGCCGAAGTTTGCCCATTCGTGGTCAAGGGGGTTGGTGCTCCTTTTAGGCTCACCTGGGGTGGACTAAGCTATGGACTTTTAGACAAGGATGGTTCAGTTATTGAAGAGTAAAGATACAGTATTTACATTGACCCTTTGATAAGTCAGCCCAGGATTTTTGGGTTGGCTTTTTGATTAAAATTTCTGGATTTAAATATAAATATATACAGTCCTTTGGCATCCCTGTTGTTGCACTTTCTACGTCTTGTGCTTTGAAATACTCCACCACACCCAGTCTTTATAATTTGTTTATCTGTTCTCCAGACTCGGGAAGCTTTATTTTACAGCATTCTGATATGTTTCAGTTGATGCATCCAAGTCATTTCTAACTTTTGGTGGGCCCAAGGTGAGCCTGTGTTAGAATATTTTTGGTAATATTTGTTCATAGTCAGTTTGCCTTTGTAACTGAGAGAGGGTCACTCTCCCAAGGTCACCAGGATTTGAACCATGGACTCCAGAGATGTTGTCCAACACTATATCATGCCATCTTAGGTCAATTTAGATATGCAAAGTTAAAAAGCAAATGAACATACAGCTCTGATATATCTCGATCTACCTACCTGCCTACATACATATACTACTGTTTTTCTCTGAAACTCAGCTTTATCTAGGTAGTGTTAATCCATTTCATCTTTGTAACAGCCTGTGAAGTAGCTCAGCTTAGATGTAGTGACTT